TGGTCTTCTGCGCTGACTGGTGACTTGTTCACCTGTAGCAAAGCCAACAAAACCAGCATAAAAAGTAGTGGACTGTAAGCAGTAATAGTGCTGGTTTGAGTTGTAGGTTTTGGGGTGGGGGGAGGGATTTTCAGCATCTGTAAATGTTTTGTCGGGCATAGGTGCTGCATTCATCTGAGTGATTTATTCGACATTAGGAGCTGAAAATTCTTTCTGGCTTAATGTTTAAGATTTTTATTCCATCTTCACAGATGGATTGGTTTCTTGAGAATTGTTCTGTAAGAGGGGATTTGGGGTCTGCATATCTCGAAGCCCAGGAGAGCAGAGCAGGGAAGTGAAAAGGCAGCGGGTTCAGCTCTCTAAGTATAGACATTCCTGGGGACCGGCTAACCCAGCCAGAGGCCTGTATTTTCAGCACTTGAACTCACCCGTGGAGAATTATCCTTTGCAATCAAAACTTCTGTTTCTTTCAGAAAAATGGTGCTTGTGTCTTTTCTAAATCTTCTTTGAAAACAGGGTCCCAGTATAATTCTGCCTGCAGCTGTCTCTTGGAGGGCCACGCTGCCCGTTCTGTCTCGGAGGTAATTTCTGACGCTGCTGATGTATAAGACATCAAAGCTTGGGCCAAAATACCCAGCTAACGTGCCTGTTCCATAGCGTGACATCCTAAGTCAAGTCCTTCGCCTCCGTGCGTGTGAAAGGCCCCGTGTTTTCCTCCTCCGAGTTTCTGAATTCAGCCCTCCTGCCTCACTGCCACAATCCCCTCGAGGACATCTGTGTTGCTCGTTGTTACTTGCTTAATCTCTGCTTTTAAAACGTGAAGCCATGACAAAATTTGCTGCCCAACGGGTGAGGACAACGTACAACTCCAAGTCTGTGCAGTCCGCGGGAGCAGCACCGGGCGCCCGCCAGCACCGCGCGTGGGCTGCCGGCAGGGCAAGGGGCGGCCCTCCGCCGCCCTCCGCTCCTTCCTCACACGGCCCTGCTGTCTCGCAAGTGCCATGGTAACCATGGATGGTAACCGTGGTTTTGGAGGAAGATGCTGATTAGCGATAGCTGAGCAAGGCAAAGCAGAGCCTGGTCTGTGTTGCCGTTTGATTCAGCTGCAGTGACGTGTGAGGAACTGTAAATTAGAGGTTTGTACCCGAGGGACTCTCACTCTGAACGGGAACAACCGGCGGTAAGGGCGGTTAATAAAGCCAGGTAATTGTCTGATAAACAAGGTCCTTATAGAAGTGTATGAAGATTACGTTGTCCCTTCTGATTCCTAAACTCTTGTCATAAATGCATTAAATGTGACAGATCTTACATTACTGTCATGATCTTAGAAAGCAGTCGTTGCTCTACTGCCTTACGGGATTTCATTCTGGGTCTTACATAAACTTGCGAAAAAACCCAACTGCTTAAGTGCCTGGTTTTCTAATGTGCAAGGTATCTTAGGGTAGATAAGTACCTATTAACAGCTGTCTTTAAAGAAAGCTAGATACCCCAAATCGCTTACTAACTGAAGGCAAAAAAATGCTCATTTGTTTTGATACTTGGCTATTTTGTTACATTGTTTTCCTTTAATGTATTAATCCTAACATAAGAACATTTAAATTATTCTGGAATGACTTTTACTGCATCTTTCCATGAGCATGCTTTTCCAAATGCAGTGATCGAATAATCTGTGAAGTGTTTCAGGCTGCCAGCTCAAGACGACTGAAAAAATAAAGTATTGGTGGTGATGGAGAGTGTGTCAGCTGGATGCACAGTGTTTGGAGCAAATGGTAAAAAATACGTTGAAATTCTTAGGTGTGTGCTCTGATTCAGCAGAGGCTGGTGGTGGGCAGGGCTGAAGTAGTTATTTTGTCTGCTGTTAAATTGCAGTGAGGGTCAGATGCATAACTACTACAGAGCTTTTAAAGTGCCAGTCCGTAATCCCCAGATGTTGGGTTATGAGGTGAGCAGACCACCAGAAGAATGGATGAGGTTCACAGCCCAGGTAGAGCCCTGCTAGTGAGCAGCGTGTCGCCCCACGCTGTGAGAGGGTAGCGCCTTGCCTACTGCGGTAGCTGATCTCACAAGTTCAGAGGCCAATCCACTCATGATGTAGTGAAAAAGAAAAATCTCGCATTACTGTTTGCCATACTGTGGATGAAAAGAAAACTTGAGCCTTTAGGACTGGCAATAACACCACTTTTATTAAGTTTCTATTGAAGGACTATTTTGGGCAAGATAAATTGATGGGCTGAACACAATAACGTTCAGTATCTCACTTTCAAATACTTAGTAGGCAAGTGCTACTGAATAAGAGAAGAAATTAAGCTAAGATGTAGAAAAAAGGTTACTTGGCAACATCATACGGTTTGTAAAGAAGAGAAAGAAGGGTCAGGAACTTAATGAATTTGGATTATAGAATTTTCTGTAAGTCAGTCGTTGCATGAATAGAAAAATCCTAACCCAGCTTTTGGTGTCATACTTTAATAGGGATTGCCTAAAGCAAAACAGGGTTTGTTTGGCCACAAACTGCAGAGAATAGCAAAAGCATAGCTGCCGTGCACAAACAAAATTGAACTCCCCGGAGGCAGGCAGTGCTGGTCATAGCTCAAGCAGAGACAATCTGAACGAGGTATGCGGTAGTGATGAAGGTTGGTGTTCATTTTTTGCATTATCTGGAGTAAGCATACTTGGAAGTGTGGGAATGTTGATTCGGAGACCACTGTATTTACTGCGTGACATAATATTAGAAAAATTTCGACTTACCTTCAGGAATTGGGAGGAAGACACCAAATACAAAAGCACTATGGCCTATAATCACAGTTCTGCCCACCGTGCCAATGCAATTTCAATGGGTAAATGAATTTTCCTCTGTAATAATTACGTTATTAATTTCTGACCATTGCAGAGAAGAAGAATCCATTGGTTGCTGGAGTTAAGATTTTTGCGGTGGGTTTCTGTAGTGGTAACCAGTTGTATGGCTCAACTAATTGTACCTGGTGCTCAGGGTGGAACAGGAGGTGCAAAATCAAGAACAAAATTACCTACCAAGCTGCCCCTTCCCATCCAGTCCAGCCTACAGTGAAATCTGTTTATAAAGTAAAGACCATATTAAAGTAAACAGCATATTGTAGAGCCTGCGTTTTGCAAATTAGTTCAGTGGACCATGGCAACCAAATGTTGTACATTTATGGTAAATGCAGCTTGATTGGAAATACTTGATTATGATACCTAGGAAAATGCAGTCTAACAAATAATATCTTTCCCCCAGCCCCTCATGCTGAAATTTTAGCTGTTAATAAGCACTGTGCCAAATACAAAAGACTCAGGAAAGTCTTGTTAGTGCATTCACATGGACACTTTTCCATTGGAGGCCAGTACATAAGGAGAACCACTATACAGTGCCACGTGTCGGGAGCTGAATTGCTCCCTGGAGGACGCTTCTGGTCTTTCCCACCTGTGTAGGGAGCTGGAGTTAAAGACACTGGTGGAAGTTTTCACACTGTTCAGTGTATAGTAAATACTAAATGGTAATTTAGTTTACTAAGCACAGTAAATACAGTTCAGTAAATAAAAGAATACTTTAAAAGTCTATATTTTCTTAGGATTTGTGCTTCATTTTCTGTTACTGATCATACATCTCATTACAACTATGAGTATTTAAGAAAAAGAGATTCACAGTGATGTATGCTAGTTACTTGATTTTCTTCTCATTCAGGGTGGACAACAAAACCAATAAAACCCATTTAATTTTCTTTTTACTTTCAGGCACTGATTTTTGAATGTCTGTTGTGCCAGTTTGTCCCAATAAGTCTTACAACAGCATTATTTTGGGTGCTTTAAAATAGGTAGAGCTTGTTTTTACTGCTCTGATAATGTGAGATGGAAGTGGGCTGTTATTGCCACGTAACTCCTAAATACCTGAAAATTTCTAGCTGAAGCTAAGCTCCTACCATGATCAAAGTGGCACATCAGTGGAATGGGTTAAAGTTTTGTGGAGTTGGGATGGGGTTTTCTGTGGTGGTAATCCAGAGGCTGTGCTATTCAAATGTTAAGTTGAGCAAATGAAATTACTATAACTCTGCAGAAAAATAGTTGGTATTCCGAAGTAGGCAATGGGTTGCCTTTTGTATTTGAAGTTACTTTGTTGCAAATTAGAGTTTCTAACCACTAAATAGGTGTAAAGCACTTCTCTTCCCTATTATTCCTCTCTGTTCTGCTTAAATTCAAAAAACAAACCCCAAAACACCTCACAACCAGACTTCTGTGATGGGCCACATATAGTGGATAAGATAAAATTAACAAATGTAGGTTGCAAATAACCAGTTGAACTAAATTTTTGACATCATTGGCTATAGAAAAAGATGTTTTATCTATGGTGGCCTAGTGCTCGGCCACATCAGCTCCTGACTTTATAGATTTTTGGGAAGATGAGCTCAGGATTTTGTATGAGGTTAAGAAGTTGCCGTTTGACTCAGTTCTGCAATCTCCAGGCTTCATCAAAGCGCTCCTGAACGTACCTGATTGTGTGTAAACAAATACTCCTGCTGGAATCCGTAGGAGTGTCTGTGCCCTTGGACAAAATCCGATGCTAAACTGTTTGGCTCAAGTGAGAGCCTGTTGCTGGCCCACCTGTGAGACCTGTTATTTAGTGGCCCATGTACCTGTTCACCTATAAGGCAGATGATGGAAAAAATGTATCTGAATTCAAAGTCTCTCAAATCCATTTTTTCCAATGTTTAAATTAACGTTAGTACCAGTTTTTCTCCACTGGCCTGTCTTGTGTATTTTTTAATCTTCCTTCCTTACCAGGTAAGTATTTAGGTAGCACTGTGGTCACTTCTGGGTTTTTGGCAGTGTTGTTTTACAGAGTCATTTCTTTCAGCATGGTGTGTGTAAATGGATGCGTATGCGTGTGCCTGCATGCTGACGTAGAGATAGATCTGTGTTGATATCTGAAATAATAGATGTGAGGGTTTTAACCTTGTACCTGTTACGACATCTTTATGTGTCTGCTTTAGGGTCGACCCTATCCCATATGACACTCCAAAACCAGCGGGCCACACGCGATTTGTCTGCGTCTCAGACACACACTCCAGAACAGATGGCATCCAGATGCCTTATGGGGACATCCTTCTCCACACGGGCGATTTCACCGAACTGGGACTGCCCTCAGAGGTTAAGAAGTTTAATGACTGGTTAGGTAAGGAATTACTGCGTTTTGGTGACCCCAATTAACCTCTCCTGTCCAAGTGTCAGTCACTGCCTCCTAATTGAATTAGAGCACTTGAAAATCCCCCCCCCTACCCTTACTTCACTTGTCCTCGTGTGATGTGCTGTTTCTAGTCTCAGTATGATTCTGTTAATTAAGATAAATTTAGAGACTTTGCTGTATTTCTCCATTATCTTGTGGGAAAAGGTTCTGTCATTCCACAGCAAGGACTTTGTAGCCTAATGTGTGTGCTGAGGGGGTGGTGGCACCTCACACAAATTCATACAGTGTCCCAGTAATTGTCACTGTGGGGTTTTATATCCACAGCCAAAACCATTGCTTGCTGTGTTTTGGGTTTACCATAATATAAAACAGTGCTGAAAGCTACAACATGTTTGGAAATGATGAAAGTCCTTCTTCCCACAATACAGGATGGCAAAATCAATGGTACTGTTTGGAAGAGAATTTTTTGGGTGTAGTATTCATATGGTTGCCCCTTTGAGTTAAAGTACTGGCAATTTGACTTGGAATGCAGGCACTCACCACCTCTTTGGTGGGATGCCTTTCATATTCTACTGTATTTGACAGCAGTGCCCTGATCATGATTGTTGCAGTTAAGGGCAATTAAATTGCAACAGCAAGACCAAAATGAAGGAGAGGAGCTTGTGCAGGACACTGCTGTTTTGAATGCCACTGGTAGGCTGGCTGTGTACTATCATGTCACCACTTGCACTAGAAATACTCAGCGGTGAAGGTGACTCGAGCAGCTGATCTTCAAGAAGCGTTAGAATGAATTTACAGCGTTATGTAGAAACCTTTGAAAGCATAGCTTTGTCATCAGGCTTTACCTCCATCACTGCACTCTCTTACCTGCCGTATGATGGCCCCATCTCTATGTGCCTTTAATATTCATTTTATTCCATTGGAGTTCCTTGACTGACCCTTCAAGAGATAAGTAAAGAACATTCAGAATCACAAAAGGAATTTTTAAATAGAAGAGCTTCCACGTTCTCTGTCTTTTCACCCTTCTTTGCATTTTCTCCATACTATTCTTTTTATCTTCCTTCTGACCTCCTTTGATTTGCACAGCCCAATTTTAAAGAACGTTTTTCCTTCTTTTTATTGCTGTGCATGTGGGGTTGGGACTTCCAGATACTGACATGTTACTGTAATTTAGTTTTATAATTCTAATTTCTAGAAAGCGGTACTAGATTTTTATGGGCTCAAAACTATCCCTTTTCTAGGAATGTAATCGCAGCACTGGGAAGTAAAGAAGCGGTAGGAGAAGTAGATGGGTGTGTACATAAGTTGAGGGAAGAGACGCAGTGGGAATCATCTTCCTCAACTTTAGAGTGTTTTGTGATAGCCTGGAAATGTTAGTGTTCTGAAGGAGGAGGAGCAAGCAAGGTAAGGGCAGCGGGAGGCTGCATAGCTTCCCTGGGAGTAGGTGGTGTGGTCCTACCAAGCTTCAGTCCTCGCAGGGAAGCTAAGCAACGCTGCTGGTGCAGTTGTTACGGGTGCCAGGCAGCTCCAAAAAAGAAATGGTTTGCTGAAGTGTATGGACCTCCAAAGTCTACCCTGAAGGCTGGGAGCAGTGTCTGGCTACCAAAGTTCCTCTTTGGACTTCACAAGTATGTTCATGAGTATTGTTTTGATGCAGCCAGAGCCCAAGCCCAGTGCTTGGCAGTTGAAAACGCTAACTCAGTACTGCAGAAAGCCAAAACAAGTGAGCTGCTAGCCTGTGTTCACCCTTTTGTGGGGAATCTTACAGTATTGGCAGCCACTTGGCATTCCTTGTATTTAACAGATGTTTTGTGGTGATATTATTTTATCACATAGATCCTTGGTTTAATATAACCCTTTGACAGGTTTTGTTCCAGCCTCAATAATTTACCATGGGGCTTTCTTAGCATATATATAGATCTTGTAGAAGTCAGTATGGTATTTATCTGAGAAAGCAGATTTTGCATTCTTTGGCAGTCAGTGTCATTGAAACAAGCAGGATTCCTTCTTCTGCCATATAGTGGGAGGCATCTTTTTTCGTAGTAGTTGGTAGGAATCTTATTCCAGAGCAATGCACTGAGAACTTCCTTTGGATACAGTGTTGTCCTTCTAGAAAGGGTTTTTCCTGTCTTTTGTGTGCATGGTTTTCTCCACTGGCAATCGTGTGTAAAGCTATAATGAAGACGTGGCGTCTGTATTGTTTCTACTGTGATGGAGTGAAGTGAGATCAAAGCTAGGCTGCATTCGTTAGCTTATTTTACCTACTCTGTGGTAAAAAATCAGGGTCTCATCTCCACTAGGGTTATATAATGGGATAACTAAGACACAATAACTGTCCATAATTTTCTTGGCAGTAAAGCCAAGGGCGATGTTAAAAGATGATATCCGGAATCACTGCCTCGCACGTCCTTCACTGATGTTACACAAGCCAGAGTTACACAGGGCTGAGAACGCTTCTGTCAGCCCTGCAGTTCTGTGTTTTGTGGGCCTTGCACCCCTTTGCAACTCTCCGTTTATCTCACCTGAGCAAAATGTGCAGCATCTTGTTCATCCACTTCATTAACTTTCATCCTTCTTCCTTGTCTCCACAGCCGAACCGCGGCAGTGCTTTCCACGCCCTCTTTCCTGCTCCTCTGAGCTCTCAGCCCTTCCCACAACTTTTACTAGTCCTTATGCTTTTTTCCCTTTGGCTGATAAATTTTCATTATTGGTTTTGCATGAAAGTCATCTGGGCTTATACATTGAATAACCTCTGTGGTCACTTAGTGATTACATACACTGGCTGAGGTAATTTATTCACTTTGTTTTGGTGTGAACATGTCCCTTGGGTCTTGTAACTGCTGTAATCACTTGACCTCGGTGACTGGTAAATGCTTTAAACACAGTTATTTTAAATTTATAATTGTTTTCATTAAAAATCTCTTATAGTAACTTAACTGACCTTGCAGTAAACACAGCATTATGTGCAGAGAAAGAATTAAGACGTTATTTTATGCCCAATATATTTCTTACTGAATGTTTCAACATACTGTTATTATCACTGTTCATATTTTTCCTATCCATTCTCATTCAGTCATACATGGGAAATGAAATACAGGAATATCTAATTATAGCTCTGTCTTCATAGTGCAGTATTTCCTTTCCCGTGTGATGGGAAGTGATTGACTAACTCATAAGAACTGACGAGAAAGCAAAAATAAATTCAGACAGATAGATCTTTAATGAGGGACGATATGTTTATTGTGCTCAATCGGTGTGGGCCTGATTGTACGTATCCTTACTTGTGTGAAGAATTTGCATCTGGTTTAGTCATTTTTCTCAAATAGCCAGTTTTGTTCTTTTTTTGTCTGGTGGTTATTTCTTGCTGTGTTTTGGTTTTGTTTTTTTTTTTTTTCCATGCAAGGTTTCTAATATAAAGCATATTATTGGACAAACTAGTGAAATTCTGCAGTGGTAGATACAAATAAATCCAGAAGGTGAAATTGCTGCAGGCTAATGTCCGTGGAGCCGAGAGCAGAATTTGGCTAGTTTTTTTCTGAGTTGTTCTGGGCTTTAGCAGCTTGACTGTTTCATGTTGATTCTTTCATGTCTTTTGTTTTGCATGTATGGTTCTTCTAATTTCCGTGGGATAATGACTTGAGGAACTTTGTGAATGGTTTAGTGGCCAAACACATATGGGTTTGTACTGGAACAAATATTTCTTTACCTGTAATATATAAGCTTGCCTTTAGTATAAACATTGTTGATAGAGCTAACGTAAAAATTCAGCTTTTTTTGGTTTGTAGTTCCTCCATTATGTTAAAGTGGGAAGAAAAGAATGGTTATACTATTTTAACATGGAGGTCTTGTTATACTCTGCATATGTAACTGTGGTCCTCAGAAACGTATTGTCAGTTCTTTTAAAGTTGGTTTTTGTGTGAATATTTGGTTCTTGAAAATAGCAGCTTCAGCTTGGAATTGCTGGCTGTTACATGGACACTTCGTTCCAGTCTACTGGAACCTACTTAGATTTCTGCGTTAGTACTGTAGAAACCTTAAATTATATTCAAAACTGTAAGCCAGACTCCCGCCAAAGTAGTGTTTGATCTTGAAGATAGTGTAATTTAATCTGAAAAAAAAATGAACTGTAACAAAATAGTGCAATAGTAAGATCAAACTCTTTTCTTATCACCGTTTAAAAATTCAGGGTCACTTTCCTCTTGTAGCCTTTCTCAGTCTCTCTGGTCTGGCTCAGTTTTCCACTCATTTTATCTAGGCTTAATCTCTCCAGTCATATTTCATTCAGGGGTTTGTGTGACTGTGTTCCTTTTGCTAATGTACACTGAAAACAGTTTCATTGTGATGCAGTATTTGATCTTGAGAACTTTTGCTCCATAAAAGTGTATTTCTGATGTGAAGTATTTTAGCATCTGACATGACACTTTTTTATAAAAAGAAACCAGTAAGCTCTAATTTTTTCCAAATTCAGAGGGATATTAACTCGAAGTTTTCTGAACTGATTTAGAATCAGAAGAAAGCTTATGAGTATTTTAAAGTAAAATTACGTCAAGAAAAGCAAATTTCTTCCTATTTTTATATATTGATTTATTTCTGATCTGTGTTTTTGCCATCTGGAGCGTGTTTTGAATCCTATATTGCTCTGCTTGTTACAACTAGAATGAATAATTGACTAAACATAAAATACCATTTTGATGAACAAAACTCTTAGCACTTGAAAAAAATTGCATCCATTGCAAGTGAAAGAAAATGCTGAGGTAGCTTTAATCCTCTAAGTATGTATGAGTTTTGCACAGCTGTTCTGGAAGAGAGGGAAGCAGCTCCCTGGAAAATCTATTAGTCTGATTTTGAAAACAGCTATGTCTTCTGTGAGTGGCTTTGGTGGGGAGCTTCTTCAGGCTTCAGACGCTGGAATAGGATACATTTATTTTAATAATAGGTTGAGCTGGCTGCTGAAGACAGTTGACTCTTCTGTTGGTGTTGGCATTCTG